CGCGTGTTTATTTATTAAAAGATTGGATAGTTAAAGTGTTTGTTTGTGCACTATGAAAGTTGGAGGTCAAAGTTAAAATTTGAAGCCAAGTTTAAGGTCAAATATATGTATTATCCCAAAAATAAAATCAGAACTTTTACTTATCAATCCACCAATATCTTTGGTGATAAGTCTCCCCTTCTAGAGTTTTTGGCTAAAATCATCTCTTAACTATGACTCAAATATAATGTACATCTTTATATTATCTAAGTGAGCAAAAAAAATCCTTACGCTATCCAAAAAATAACAAGAATCATCCTTCCATCTATTTTTGTTAAGAAACTGATTGAAACAATAAAAAAAATATTTTTTTAATTTGGTCATGTCTTAGCCATGACGAAAAGATCAAAGCTATCTAAAAAAATAAGGATATGGATAGGAAATGAATCTTTCTTTCTATTTTATGTGTTAGTTTATATGTTTTAAGCATCATCAAGTAAATTGACTTGCAACAATACATAAGTCTTGAAATATTTATACAGTACGTTCTGATGGTTAGAAAGATCGATTATGTAAAAAAAATCATTTTGAAAATATTATGCACAACTATTTAGAGATTTTCTTTAATAAAATATTTAGTACGTATGTACGTTATATACAATGCAAATCACATTTTATACAATGTACAAAAATGTTGGAAATTTAGTGATATTACGTAGGCATTTAGTTATGAAATTAAAAAAATAATATTTTATTTGAAATTTTTGAAGTTGGAGTTGTATTTGGCCATACTTTTTACAAGGAATATTTAGAATTTGAATATATTTTGTTCAAATATGATTTAAACCCTCAATTTCTAAAAAATAGAAAAAATCACCCAAGTAGGATACTTAGTTTTCTTAGTTTATCTCTTTGCTGTAGAAGTTGTACATAATCTATATATACTTAGTTTACAATCAATAAAACACATTGTTCCTTTCATTCTACTGGCAACTTTATACTTTATACAACTTTCAACTAATATCTATTTCCTTCAATTTTGGGTATGCACAAGTAAGTATTGAAACTTGAATAAGTAGACATACAAGTTTTATTGACATGATACACGTCGGATGTGAATTGCCACGTAGAATGTCAAGTAGGATGCGTAATTCTATTTTTTTCGACTCTATACAAGTTTAGGTGTCTAGTTATGAACATCAAAAGTTGGAGGGCATATGTGAGTTCGGATTTGATAATGACAAGATGGACATGTTATCTATTCAACGCTAACAGGAATTGAGGATAATTTTATTAAACAGAAAGGACATCCTCAGTAAGTTGCAGTATGTGTCTGTTTGAACCCGTTCACCTTAATTACTAGCAAGATTAATTGGAGCTATTATATCTGGTGTTTGTTTATTTGAAATATGTTATATGTTGGTGTTTATCTCTTTTTTCTGTCGTTTTTGTTTCATGCTGGTGTGCTTGTGTCTGCTGTATGATTTTAAATGGAGTATCTAATTGACATAATTGTGTTGTATAGCTTTGTTTTGCTTGAGTCAAGGGTCTTTCGGAAATGACCTCTCTACCTGGAAGAGATAGTGGTAAGGTTTGTGAACAACCTTCCCAAACCCCACTTTGTGTGATTTAACTGGGTTTGTTATTGGCATACTTTGTGTTGAATATACTATGGGGTTGTTTGGTTCGTGAACAAAGTTATGCAGGGATTATAATTTTGTGATCGATTCTAGAATATAGTGGTGGTATAATCTTTAGGCTATTGCTTAATACTAGAAGTGGGCATAAATCATCGAAAACTGAATTATCGAACTGAATGGATGTCTTGATTGACCTATGCCAACAAATTCATTATGTTAGGGCTTGATAGAGTAATATAACCCCCATATGTTATTTCTCTAAAAGTTAACATGTTGTATTGGACAAATTATGAACATATATTTCCCTTCAATACGTAATTACTGATGTACCAAAATTTGATTTACAGGACATAGTTTGGTATTTGAAATCTACTTTTATAGTATATCGATAGCCGAAATCTTACTTTAGAAATACTGAACTGAATACCAAATGCTCACCCCTAATTGACAATATGCCTTGAGTGACACTAACAAGAAGAAGAGGAGAAATATGCATACTTCTGAGTTCTGTCTTGGGATGTGCTATGATTAATTAGCATAAGATTGAAAGCATGTGATTGGGCTTAGCCATTAAATAAATTGGTGGAGGAATCAAAGCTCACGCCTGATTAATGTAAATGTAATCAGTGTTGATATCACAAACATCAGTATTTGGAACATATCAACAATTTATGGATTTATCTTCCCAAAACAAAAGGAAACAGAGAGTAGCTGCAAAAAATCTGTATATTTGTACATAAACAGTTTGTATCCACAAGGTAGTTTCAGTAAAAATTGAGAATGAGTGGAGTTAACAAGGGAACTGATCCCAATGGCACCCATAGAGGAAGGCAGTCATTGCGAATGAGTCAGTTACTAAGAGCTGCTTTTGCTTATGTATCAGATAGTACTCCTCCTCGTGACGTTGTCTTAAATCACTTCAGTCATCGTCATCCATTTCTTCGATTGCACCTGCGAGAGAGTGAAGGAATCAAATGCACCTTTTGCAATATCAGTATCTCTGGTTGGGCTTATGCTTGTGAGAAGCATTGTGATTGTTACCTTCATGAGGTGTGTAGTAACTTCCCTAGAGAAATTCACCATGATTTTCATCCCGGCTATGACACCCTTATTCTAAGGCCGTTTCAGTTGGCAAACAACAATGAGCAGTTTCATTGCGCTGCGTGTGGGCATGATGATTCTGTTCATTCTCTGTTCCAGTCATACTATGGCTGCGAGTCGTGCAATTTCAATCTTCATGTTGAATGTGCTTCCATACCTATAGATTTGTCTCGTAATGTGAAGTATCTGCTTCATCGGTTTGTTTCATTCCCAATAACCAGTGAGACTGCTACTCTCTTCTGCTCAATTTGTACTGATGTTGTTCCCACTTCTGGATGCTGGCTATTTTACAACCATGAGCATGATTACCTCTGTCACATCAATTGTGCTGCTGTATCTGAATACGGAATGGAGAATCATTCCATGGGTAAACTACAAAACCGGCTGCAAACTCTGGCAACAACAAATCGCCCTCCCACAACACTTGCAGGTCAACCATCTGGGAACGTTACACATTTCTCTCACCGTCATGCTCTCAAGGAATATAACTCGGACAAGCCCCTGGCATGCAACTTGTGCCAAAATGATTATTCGACAGGGTACTTTTGCAGTGATTGCAATTACCTATGATTCAACATATGTCTCATCCGCAATACCCTCTACGGTTAACTTGCTACTTGGATTATCAAAATGAGAGTGTCAATTGCTGGGGCTGCCAGGTTAACTTTAAAAGTAGTCATAGCAGGGCCTACTATTGCACTCAATGCAAATTCATTTTGAGTCGCCAGTGTGCTGGAGCTCCCAAAACCTTAACGCTGGCAGACAATATCTCATACGAGCTCTTCTTTGAATTCCCCTTTAAGCATGAGAATGCAGAGGTCAAGTGCAACATTTGTTCCAATGAAGTGGTGATCAAAGATGGACTGTTGTACTATAATCTAGAGCGTGATGAAACTTTGCATGTTTCTTGTGCCCTCACAAAAGAGCCCAAAAAGAAAATGACCATGAAGGATAGGTCAATTCAACGGTTAAATGAAGTGAGGATAACTGAGTAAATCGAAATTAGTTCCTCCTCAAGACTGGAAGTTTAGTACATTTGCAAGTATGGAGGTGTTTGTTTTTTGGCAGTGTGTTATGTCTTGATGTGTGTTTGTTTCTTTGCTCTTTCCTTTTTTTGTTTCCAGCTGATGTGCTTGTTTATCTGTTGTGGTGATTTTGGTAATGTTACTGCTATGTGTTGTCTTATCTTGGAATGAAAATTCAATTGCCTTCTTATTTTTATGGTTAGGCTTAATTTAACTCTTCTTTTGTTGAAATATCTATTATTCATGGGAAACAGAGTTGAGTTACTATTATTCATGCGCAGAAAGCAACTTAATGAACTGTATAAACACAAAGCTAGACTATTCCTTTGCCATGTTCTGATTAAACCTTGTACTGGCTGAGTAGCTTGTCATTCACCTAATTCTGAAAGAGAAGGAAAGAAGTCATCTAGACTATTCCATTACGTGCTTTCTACGTCCCCAACAGAGGTAACTCTGTCCACCAAAGCTTAGACCTATCGGAAGAAACTGGAAAGGAAACACTTTTCCAAAAATTGGAGAGAATGTATGAACGAATCTGATCTTTGAGTAATTGGCAAGCAAATGGAAAATTCCAAGAAGGAACAATCACTTTTCCTTTTTTTCTTCTTTATAGTGTCTGCCATTGCAAGAAAGCATACATTTTGGGAAAGTCGTAACATGAGTTTGAGTGAAGGAAGATATGGAATCAGATGTTCACTACTTTAATATGTTAGATAATCAATACTCTCACTTTAAAGATATTATTTTGACAGCTTATAAATCTTTGTGAATTTGTTGCTTGAAATAACACAATCAAACCCTCCATTGCCTCTCTTAAGCATTTATTTTCATACCAAATTCTCCAACATTGCTACTCTTTGATTTTCATACCAAATTCTCCATTCCGCTCAATAATCTTTCGTTTTCATACCAAATTCTCCAACATTGCTACTCTTTGATTTTCATACCAAATTCTCCATTCTGCTCCCTAATCTTTCGTTTTCATACCAAATTCTCAAACATTGCTACTCTTTGATTTTCATACCAAATTCTTCATTTCCGCTCTCTCATATTTCATTTTCATACCAAATTCTACATTGCTGCTCTTCTACCTTTCATTTTTCATACCAAATTCTCTAATTCCGTTCTCTCACATTTCATTAGCATACCAAATTCTCCATTTCCGCTCTCTCATATTTCATTTTCATACCAAATTATTCATTTTCTCTCTCACATATTTCATTTTCAGACAACATTCTTCATTTTCGCTCTCTCATATTTCATTTTCATACCAAATTCTACATTGCTTTTCTTTTAGCTTTCATTTACATACCAAATTCTCCATTTCCACCATTTTCACACCTTTACTTCTCAGTAGCAGAGTTAAGACTTGATAGTTGAAAAAAGGCTTATTACTAAACTATACTAGCTATGGAATTCTTATCTATTTTTGTGGAAAAAGTCGCAGGTTGCTTGATACAGCCAGTTGTGCAAGGGATTGGGTATTTATTTGACTACAAGAGTAACATCACATCTATGGAAAAAGAATCTGAGAAGTTGAAGAATATCAGAATCACGGTGCAGCGAAGAGCCGAAGATGCCCGGAGAAACTTACTAGACATTTCACCCAATGGCAAGGCTTGGTTAAGTAGTGTGGATACCACTACTGAACATGTGGAAGGTGTAAGGCGACGTACAGCTGAGGTTGAAAAGGGTTGCTTTTATGGTTGGTGTCCAAACTTGAAGTCACGTTACTCCCTCAGCAGGAGAGCTAAGAAAATTACAGAGGAGTTGACTGAACTTCGAAGTGAAGGCGGTGTAATCTCCTTTGATCAACCAGTTCAATGTGAGGCCATACCTAATAACAGTACTGAGGAGTTTGACTCCAGAAAAATGCAAGAGGATGAGGTCATTGCAGCTTTGAAAGATGACGGGGTCACTATGATTGGGATATGTGGTATGGGTGGTGTTGGTAAAACAACACTCGCTGAGAAAATCAGACAAAAGGCGAAACAAGAAAGGGGTAATTTCATAGATGTCGTCATGGTAACTGTCAGTCAACAACCAGACTTACAAAGAATTCAAAGTGAGGTCGCAGGAGGAGTCGGTCTGATGTTGAAAGGGGACAATTTCAGGGATCGCGGTGATCAGCTGCGTTCAAGGTTAGTGGATCATAACAGCCGCGTCCTAGTAATCTTGGATGATGTTTGGGAGGCTCTTCATGAACTAGAGAAACTTGGAATTCCAAGTGCAAGCAACCACAAACATCGTTGCAAAGTGATATTGACAACGCGTTACCGAAATGTTTGTGAAGCAATGGAAGCTCAGAAGATCATGGAAGTTGGAACATTATCTGAAGAGGAAGCATGGTGCCTTTTCAAGCAGAAAGCTGGTGATATAGTTGATGTTCCTTCTATTCATGACACAGCAAAAGAGGTTGCCAGAGAATGCAAGGGGTTGCCGCTTGCAATTATTACAGTTGCAGGAGCACTAAAGGGTAAAGACGAGCCTTTGTGGAAGGATGCCCTTAAACAATTACGTGATGCGGAAACAAGAAATATCCCTGGAGTGCACACAAAGGTGTATAAACCTCTGAGGCTAAGCTATGATTACTTGGAAAGTGATGAAGCTAAGTACCTCTTTTTGCTTTGTTCATTGTTCAAGGAAGACAGTGATATTTCGACCGAAAAATTGCTTAAATATGGAATGGGGCTTCGCATCTTTTCGAAAATTAAAAATATAGAAGAAGCAAGAGATAGGGTGTGTAATCTGTTGGAAACATTGAAAGATAGTTTCTTATTATCCCAAGGTTCATACGAAAATCATGTCAAAATGCATGATGTGATCCGTGACGTGGCTATAAATATTGCGTCTGAGGGAGATCATAGCTTTATGGTAAGTCATGATGTGAACTCGGTAGAGTTCCCAAGAATAGAGTTATACAAGCAGCAACACAGTCACATGTCAATTGTTGCAAAGAAATTTGATGAGCCTTGTAGCCCAATAGTTTGCCCAGAACTGAAGCTTCTAATGTTGAAACTCTGTTTTGAAGAGCCATTCAAGTTACATGATGATTTTTTTTATGGAATGAGTAAACTCAATGTCTTAAGCCTGAGGGGATACAGATTTAAGGAGTCCATTCTGTCTTTTCCAACATCCATGCAGAGGTTGCCATGTCTGAGGATGTTGTATCTGAGTAAATTAAAGTTGTATGACATATCCATTATTGGCGAACTTGTCAATTTGGAAATTCTTTGCATAAGACATTCTCAATTAGAGGAGGTGCCAGTGGAGATAGGAAAATTGGCCAATCTAATTATGTTAGAGTTTAAGATTGAGGGTACAACACTTAAAAGGATTTCAGCAGGTGTCTTATCAAGACTAGTTCGATTGGAGGAACTTCATATGGTGGGAGTAGAAGATTGTTGTTACTCCACCCTGAGGGAACTGGAATCTTTATCGAAATTGACTGCACTGACATTAAGTAATTGTTCCGGAGATGTGATCTACAGTAACTTGCGCTTTCCCTCCAGGTTGACACGGTACACTCTTAAAGTGGGTTATGCTTACACAATGACCATGGGTGATTACGGAAAGAATATTGAGTTAGAGGTCACTGAGACCACCCCATTGGGTGATTGGATCTGCCGCCTGCTGAAGGAATGCGAAGTTGTACATTCATCGGGAAAAGGCTCTAATAACGTGTTGGCCGAGTTGCAGCTGAATGAGCTTCAGAACGTGAAAGTTCTCGGCCTCTTTGATTGTGATTTAGTGACACATTTATTGAAGATCTGTGGGAGGACACATGAAGTAATCAAGTTCCCCAATTTAAATGAGTTACAGCTTCGATCTCTGGAATGCCTGACTCACTTTTGCAGTGACAATGTTGAGGGCATTGAGTTCCCACAGTTATGGAGAATGGAATTCTATGAGTTACCTGAGTTCCAAAATTTGTGTCCTACCGCCAACAACTCCATCACCGACTCAAATCCTCTTTTCAATGAAAAGGTTTGCTTTTTATCATGACAAATACGGACTTTTTTTAAATATGAAACGAGCTTACTTTTTCACTTTTTATTTTGAGGGTTTTTATGAATTAAAATTTTACCTTTTTACTTGAGCACTAAAGATATTTACTTAAACAAAGTATATTCTTTTATCGTTTAATAAGTGACTTAGATATACCTTTTTGGTCTAACCAAGTGCAAAAATAATTTTAAATTAATTTGTTATATGAAAATTCCATATAAGGATATATTTAATTCTTTTTACATGGGAATATTTTTATTCAACGGCAAATTTAAGTTTTAAATATCTCTCTTATAAATCTATTTGTTTATCATTATTTGAGTTTCTTATTCTTATTCATTTTTGTGTGTGCGCGCGAGCGTGTACATAAATAGATATGAAAAAAGTAAGAACAAAATAAGTTGCATTCAATTTTTTGAGTGTATTATAATGTATAGCTCGTGTATAAGTAAATTATACTGTATACTATCTATGACTTTTATCAAACTATATTGCATAGTCAATATTGTATATTTTATATGAATTTTGGTTGATAAAACATGGCTATATTTGTTGTAAACTTAATTACTTTATTGTATATATTTGAAACTACCAAAAAAGCAATATAATGTGTTTGAGATACTAAAAATCTTTTTAAAATATTAAACGAGATTATATTATTTTTTTTAAGGAAAAATTACTTGGATGAGTACCTTTTTAATAAATAATTAGTGATTTTAGCGATATTTTTTATTTATTATCATTTATAGCAATACTATGATAAATCTGTAATATGTATTAAAAGTGAATTATGTGTGCAATATATATGTTTTATAACTATTTTTTTCTTAAATATATTATACTTGTTTGGTAAGAAATTGACACATTGTATTATAAGTGTATTAAAATGTGTGATAAATATATTATTCATCAATAAAACTTGTATTATATGTGCTCTATAAATTGTTCTCTGTGATATGTATTAAAATTATATTATAAATATATTAAAATTGATCAAGTAAAAAGAATGTTATTGCTATAAATGATAAATATATTTTTTAATATAGTATATTTATGTAAGTTTCCTTTTTTTTATGTATATATTTGGCTTTAAAATATATAAATATGTCTAAGCACTTTTGGCTTCTCCACGTATGACCTAGTGTTTTCTTCATTGCAACAAAAAACAATAAAGTTTGATACTTCAACTTTTGCAGGTTTTTTGTCCCAAACTGACTAAGCTATACATCCAAAAACTTGAAAGGATTAGTGCTCTATGCTCTCACCAACTTCCAACTGCCTACTTCACCAAACTTAAATCATTAGAAGTATTTGAATGTGAGAAATTGAGAAATTTGATGTCTCCATCAGTGGCCAGAGGTGCTTCGAATCTCCGAATACTAAAGATAGGATATTGTGAGTCAATGGAAGAAGTGATCACAAAAGAGAGAGAACAAGGACAAGGAATCATGACCTTATTTCCTCGACTGGAAGTGTTGGAGCTTGGCAGGCTGCCTCAATTGGAGCATTTCTTTCTGACGGAGCATGCTCTTGAATTTCCATTACTCAGAGAAGTGAAGATTTATGATTGTCCTGAAATGAATATGTTTGTCCAACAGGAAATATTTATGAGTACTCCGAATCTTGAGAGTGTGAACAATGATGATGAGGTGAAAGCAGTTAATCTCAATAAAGTCATGTTCAATTCTAAGGTTTGTCTTGTACCTCTAGCTATATAACTAACCAGTAAATGCATCCCGCGCTAATTAATTGGATTTTCTATTGTTCAAAAAAAATTATTTTAGTTTTCAAATTTTAACCACACTAATTAATTGGATTTTCTATTGTTCAAAAAATATTATTTTAAGTATTCAAATTTTAACCAGTGATATTATTTTAGTTTTCAAATCTTCATCATCTAAGTGTTTTTAAATCTTCTAAAATACTTGATTTTTATATAATATATTGTAAGTAAAAACAATAGTTTTATTTTTCTTGCTAGAAATAATAGAAAGAAAAAAATTCAATAAAACTTGGTTTCCTTCCGTTCATTTTAATAAATTTCTAAACTAAATAATTTATTTATATATTTAATACAAATCTAATATATGAATCTCGTATGCACTTTTCTCTTATTTCATTCTTTTACTTAGTGATTTATGCAGTAACTATTCAATTTAATTAGAGTGTATTAATAGAATCCTCAATTAAAATATGAAAATCATACAATTTAATTGAAGAATAAATCATTAGCAATATGAATCATTAAGAACCAACACAATATTATATATTAATTTTTTAAAACAATTATCATCAAGCTAAACAATTTTCTTAAAATCGATATATAGCAAAGAATCAACAAATGATTCTTCTTACTTTTGACCCTCCAATTTATATGTTACAATCACATTGACACTGATATAGTAAAGATACATAATTTTTGCCCCTCCCTTCTTAATAGTATTACTAGTGTACTTGTCAAGAAAATATTAAATATATTTTAAAATAATTAATGTCACTATTTGATAAATATTCTAATAAATTATATAATAAAAGAGAGAAATACAAATTAAGTTACCTGATATTATCTAGAGAATTTAGAAAAAATGCTAAAAAAATCTCATGCGGCATTTTCAATTTAAAATAGCTGAAAGGAGATGAAAACATAAAAGTTGATATGAAAAGTTTCAGCCAACAGTCGTCTAAGTATCATAGTTTCATACTAAATTCAATGATTTGTATACCAATATTATTGGTTCAACCAATAATATTAAATCTACTCTATCATAAATTACGTGACTTTCTTTTTGTATAAATGACTGCATAATAAAAATATACAAAACAAAATATATTTGTGTTAAATCATAGTGAGAAAATGTACTTGAATTATATTTGAACATATTCATGCACAAAATTCAGAAGTCAGAGAGATTTTTTTTTATTTTTTTCGATATTCGATGCTCGTACTGCATTCATATAATACATATTTATGTCGCATAAGATCCATTAATATTAAAATTTTATATATAACTTTTATTCTTATATATAGTATGCATTGCGAGAAGAAAGAATTAAGTTGCTATAGTGAAACACTGTCGTTGAGGTTTTACTTTTACAATAAAAATATATAAAATTAAACACATAATTTAGTCGTATAGAGATTATCAAAAAGTGCCAAAGAAATATTTTTTTTTTTAAATATGTGTATGCAGCGTTGAAGATGTATAAAAAGTACTAAAAGTTGGATGTGAGAAAAATAAAAGAAATGTTTTTTTTGAGTAATTAAATGTTAGATCATTTTTTTGTTTTGTTATTGTTAACATAACTTGAAGAAGATATATTACACTGAGAGGTTAAAAGTTGAGTAATTAAATGTTAGATTTTTTGAAATATTAAAAATAAAATAAGTAAATAAATGAAGGGAAAAAAAAGGTCAAAAAAAGATAAATATAAATAGAGCCCGTAAAAGAGGTGTTACATCACCTTGTCTCATTAATTAATTGAATTTTTCTTTGTCATGTTAAAAATTAAACAACTTAAACTCGTGTTTAAGCACTTTTGGCTTTTCAACTTATGACCTAGTGTTAATTGGCTTATGGTTTGATACTTGAACATTTGCAGATTTCCTGTCCCAACCTGGAAAAGCTATATATCAATACAGCTAACAGCACTAGTGTTCTATGCTGTCACCAACTTCCAATTGCGCCCTACTTCAGCAAACTTGAAAAATTGGAAGTAAAGAGCTGTGGAAAATTGAGAAACTTGATGTCTCCATTAGTGGCCAGAGGCCTTCTTAATCTCCGGACACTAAATATAGAAAATTGTGAGTCAATGGAAGAAGTAATCACAGAAGAGGAACACCAAGGAGAAGAAATGACTAATGAGCCCTTATTTCCGCTATTGGATAAGCTGATTCTTCGCAAGCTGCCTAAGCTGGGGTATTTCTTTCTGACGGAGTGTACTCTTGAATTTCCATTTCTCAGAAATGTGAGTATTCACGACTGCCCTGAAATGAAGACGTTTGTCCAACAGGGAATATATGTGGGTACAACGAGTCTCAAAAGTGTGAACAATGATGATGAGGTGAAAGTAGTTGATCTCACTAACACAATGTTCAATTCTAAGGTTTGTCTTGTGCCACTAGTTGTATAACTAATTACTGCTCTCTTTTCGTTTTAACTAGTAAATCTTTAGATTGTTATTTCTGTTTTTCATTTCCTGTTACCTTGACGTAAGATGAGCTATGTTCATTTTTGGATTTGTACTTGAAGTTATATTGAATTTTCATCCCTTATATAAAATACAAGGCCTTCAACATTTGCAGATTTTTTGTCCCAACTTGGAAAAGCTATATATCAATACAGCTAACAGCATAAGTGCTCTATGTTGTCACCAACTTCCAACTGCCTACTTCAGCAAACTTGTAAAATTGGAAGTAAAGAGTTGCGAAAAATTGAGAAACTTGATGTCTCCATCAGTGGCCAGAGGTGCTTTGAATCTCCAAATACTAAAGATAGATGATTGTCAATCAATGGAAGAAGTGATCACAGAAGAGGAACACCAAGGAGAAGAAATAACTAGTGAGCCCTTATTTCCGCTATTGGAAAATCTGAATCTTCGAAGGCTGCCTAAGCTGGGGCATTTCTTTCTGACGAAGCATGCTCTTAAATTTCCATTTCTCATAGTAGTGGAAATTTTTAAGTGCCCTGAAATGAAGACGTTTGTCCAACAGGGAGTATATATGGGTACAATGAGTCTCAAAAGTGTGAACAATGATGATGAGGTGAAAGTAGTTGATCTCAATAACGCAATGTTCAATTCTAAGGTCTGTCTTTGCCGCTAGTTGTATAACTAATTACTATATATATTTTTGTCATGCATTAATACACCCCTGGTCTACTGCTCTCTTACCGTTTTAACTAGCAAATAATTAATAGTAATAGTAATCTTTTCAGATAGTTATTTATGTTCGTCACCTGGTAGAGAACTATGCTGACTGAGGTAACAAATATAGACGAAACTACAAAATTGTAACCCAGGGGTTCACATAAATCTAATAGCTTTTGCCCAGAAACTTTAATTTGTATTAGTAATATCTAGAGATTCCTTGATTATGAACGCGATTGTTATTGGATACTACCCTGAGGTCATTAGAGATTTATAAATTTCAAATTCTGAATCTGCATCTCGCTCTAAATTCTTTACTTTTTACACCTCAATAGGATTAATAAGGTAAGAAATAGCGCCCTTGCTTGTACTTTTTCTTTTGAGTTTCGTTTTTATTGTGTATATAAAAAAACTAGCCCTAAAAAATTTCTTTCATCATATTTAACTGCTAATATATAGGTGGATTTATTTTCTCATGTCATCTTGTATTTTAGTATGCCATTTTAAAAGATTTTAAAGAATGCTATTTTGGAGATGCTTTTTTGTTTGAGTAATTTAACCTTTAATAATTTCTTCCATATTTTGAAAAATAATGCTGTTTTTATGGGATGTTTCTCAAAAATGAAGTGTTAAAACTATAATAATTGCTTTATAATAGTACTTTTAATCAAACCGTCATGTTAAACATTAATCAACTTATGACCTAGTGTTTTGTTCCAATAGCTCCAACTGTATCTGCAACAAAGTTTGATACTTCAAAGCTCGCAGGTTTCTTGTCCCAACCTGGAACTGCTATACATCACTGAAGTTGAAAGCATAAGTGCTCTATGCTCTCACCAACTTCCAACTGACTACTTCACCAAACTTAAAACATTGTATGTATCTAATTGTGGAAAATTGAGAAACTTGATGTCTCCATCAGTGGCCAGAGGTCTTTTGAACCTCCAAACACTACATATAGTTTTTTGTGAATCAATGGAAGAAGTGATCACAGAAGAGGAAGAACAAGGAGAAAGAATCATGACCTTATTTCCACTCTTGGAAGAGCTGGAGCTTAGTTGGCTGCCTAAGCTGGGGCATTTCTTTCTGACGGAGTGTACTCTTGAATTTCCATTTCTCAGAAATGTGACTATTCGTGGCTGCCCTGGAATGAAGACGTTTGTCCAACAGGGAATATCTCTGAGTACACCGAGTCTTAAAATGGTGAACAAGGATAATAAAGTGAAAGTAGATGATAAAGCAATATTCAATTCTAAGGTTTGTCTTGTGCCGCTAGTTGTATAACTAATTACTGCTCTCTTTTCGTTTTAATCTTTAGATAGTTATTTCTGTTTTTCATTTCCTGTTACCTTGACGTAAGATGAGATATGGTTCATTTTTGAATTTGTACTTTAAGCTATATTGAATTTTCATCCCTTATATAAAATACAAGGCCTTCAACATTTGCAGATTTTTTTGTCCCAACTTGGAAAAGCTATATATCAATACAGCTAACAGCATAAGTGCTCTATGTTGTCACCAACTTCCAACTGCCTACTTCAGCAAACTTGTAAAATTGGAAGTAAAGAGTTGCGAAAAATTGAGAAACTTGATGTCTCCATCAGTGGCCAGAGGTGCTTTGAATCTCCAATTACTAAAGATAGATGATTGTCAATCAATGGAAGAAGTGATCACAAAAGAGGAACAACAAGGAGAAGGAATCATGACCTTATTTCCCCGATTGGAAGAGCTGAATCTTACTGATCTGCCTAAGCTGGGGCATTTCTTTCTGACGAATGGTGCTCTTGAATTTCCCTTTCTCAAGGAAGTGATTATTATTAAGTGCCCTGAAATGAAGACGTTTGTCAAACAGGGACTATATGTGAGTACACCAAGTCTCGAAAAGGTGAACTTTGATAATGAGGTGACAGTAGATGATCAGAATAAAGCAATGTTCAATTATAAGGTTTGTCTTGTGCCGCTAGTTGTATAACTAATTACTGCTCTCTTTTCCTTTTAATCTTTAGATAGTTATTTCTGTTTTTCACTTCCTGTTACCTTGATGTAAGATGAGATATGGTTCATTTTTGAATTTGCACTTTAAGCTCTATTGAATTTTCATCCCTTATATAAAATACAAGGCCTTCAACATTTGCAGGTTTTTTGTCCCAACCTGGAAAAACTATCTATCAATACAGCTAACAGCATAAGTGCTCTATGTTGTCACCAACTTCCAACTGCCTACTTCACCAAACTTAAAACATTGTATGTATCTAATTGTGGAAAATTGAGAAACTTGATGTCTCCATCAGTGGCCAGAGGTGCTTTGAATCTCAAAATACTAGAGATAGATGATTGTCAATCAATGGAAGAAGTGATCACAGAAGAGGAAGAACAAGGAGAAGGAATCATGACCTTATTTCCACTCTTGGAGGAGCTGGAGCTTAGTTGGCTGCCTAAGCTGGGGCATTTCTTTCTGACGGAGTGTACTCTTGAATTTCCATTTCTCAGAAATGTGACTATTTGTGGCTGCCCTGGAATGAAGACGTTTGTCCAACAGGGAATATCTGTAAGTACACCGAGTCTCGAATGGGTGAACTTTGAGAAAGTAGATGATCTCAATAAATGGACACAAGAGATGTTCAGTTCTCAGGTTTGTCTTGTGCCACTAGCTGTATAACTAATTAACTCTTTCCGTCTTAACTTAATAGTAATAGTAATATTCACATACTTATTTAAGTTTGTCAACTTCCTTGTACAATAATTTCAATTAGAAATCACTATTATCTGCTCCCAGAAACAATCTGAAGCTAGTGATGACGACGATGAATCTGAAGCTACCAATGGCGATGAATCTGAAGCTAGTGATGACGATGAATCTGAAGCTACCAATGGTGATGAATCTGAAGCTTCCGAGTCTCGAAAGGGTGAACCATGATTTTGGTGTGAGAACAACAAAGCCAAACCTAGTGATGGCAGAAGCTACTGATTCAGTCTATGAATCCAAAGCTGGCTAGGAAGGTAATGAGTATTCCATGAAATAGTCCAAGTTAGATCGAACATCACCTAATACCTACACCGTTGTTTGTTGATTTTTGAAAGAAGGGGCGGATCTTGAAGAAGCAGCGCGAGTAAAATGCTCGCGATGGAGGTAACATGTAGAGGCGGATCAATATTATAATCCATGGATTCACTTGAACACAACAGTTTTTGCCAAAAGACTTTGTATCTGTATCAGTAATTTCTTTAATTAGAAACTGTTGTGAACCAAACTAACTACATAAGGGCCTATGGGCTGGAAGTGGTGAATGAGACTGGTCCATTTAAGATTATTGGGCTGATTAAAATATTGGAGAGTTTTATTTGGAATCCAGTCCCAACTATCAATTGGTTAAATAGGTCTTTGAGTTAACACAAAAAGGGTTATGTGAATTATGATTATGCTAGGCAAAAGACTATGCTTCTCATCCCCAATTCTCTCTTAGTTCCCTCATCCCATCTTCTTTATAGCTACTGTTATTGATCGCTTTTTCATATTGTAATTGCTCAATTTTCGTATGAATCAAAGCTTGTTAGTTTGTTCTCTCTATTGTTTGTTGTTGAGTTGAGAGAATCACTACATCCAAGTAGGTTTGTTACATTGGTGCTTTCATTGAGAGGTCTTCAATGGAGGACCAAATATCTCGAACAAATGAAGATTCGTGGTCGAAGGAACTCGCAGAAATTCGTTCAATGTTACAGCAGTTGATTGCAACAAATAAACCTAGTCCAATGGAATTTCAACGATTTTGTGGTGAGAATCCAGAGCTATGGATTTCTCAGGCTGAACGCTACTTTGACTTCTATGAAATTGGAGAAAACCATAAGTTGTCTCTCGCCTCGTCCTATCTTGACGGAGCAGCTATGACGTGGTACCAATGGCTTTTCCAGAACAAACAATTGGTAGATTGGGAACACTTTACTGCGAAAGTGTTGATTCGCTTCCGTAAACGAAATCTCAAATCAATGAAAGGCCGCTTGCCCAATCACTGGCAGAACTATGACGAGCAATCTGAATTCCCAACCAAAACTGATGCACACAAGGTGTTCGACGAAAGGTTAACTAGTTGCTGCCCCACAGTATTCGTTGAGACACAATCAGACACTCCAATTGAAATGGCAAGTGAAGCAGTTTGTCCTGATCCCGGCTCTAATGAACAACAAATTCATGAAATTGAGACCTTGAAAGGTGAAATTTCTGCGGACGAAGTGGTACCCAATGCGGAGTGTGGAAAATGTTTTGAGGTACGTGATGAAGGTGTTCTACTGGTGGTGAGTGTACCACAAATTTCTTTTTCAATGAATTTATATAGCCCTTGCAAGGGATGTTCCACCATAGTTGTGGACGAGTTCAACGAAATCCTTAAGACATCAACTTGTCGTATTGCTAATACTTTTATTGATCAATGTCTTCTAACTCAATTTCAATTTAACCTTGGTGCGACTACCTTTGTTGTCCCTGTTCAGAGAATGGCATCAAATTTCTGTGTATGGGATCCCGGAATTAGTTTTGAGTTCCTAGTTCTAACATGTTTTGATAAGAGGCTTTTGAAGAAGTACTGGCCTTCTTTCAGTTATTACAAGCAAAACTCAGTAACTTTTCGTTGAATTTTTGGTTAAGGACAGGGAAATTCATTAAGAAGACATATCTCTCCATAATTCTTGCTGAAACTACACAATCATTTTGGTCATATTTGGCATTAGTTGGCTACTATCTGATCATATGCAGTTGCTTTGTTGCTCTGCAACTATGTCAAGTGGCAGATGGAGAACATGATATTTGTGAACTGCTATGTTATGTTTTTCTAATCTTAACTAGATAACCAAAAGCATTTCAACATCAACACAACTTCTTAGTGCTTTTGAGGTGTGCAACAATGTGGGTGGAATTTTTTCAACTTAAAGGTGGTTCACTTGTTTCTTATTGTGCTGAAATTTTGGAAGTTGGCAACTGGTTTTTGGTTAGACTCCAACCTCATCGACAACACTCCATGAGATTGCAGCTTGGTAATCCTTTGGGAAAGCATCTTTGTCGCTCTTCCGAAGTGCTCAAGTATTTGATTCTCCCCTGCAAATTGAATCTTTTTGAAGCGGTCCAAATTTATCCTCTTCTTTGGTGCAACTCTAGGCTCAAGCATTGCACTAACCAGCTGAACCAACAGTATATGCTACTGCAGAACCTTGAGGACAAGGTTCTCGATTCAGGGAGGAGTATTGTTGTGAACCAAACTAACTACATAAGGGCCTATGGGCTGGAAGTGGTGAATGAGACTGGTCCATTTAAGATTATTGGGCTGATTAAAATATTGGAGAGTTTTATTTGGAATCCAGGCCCAACTATCAATTGGTTAAATAGGTCTTTGAGTTAACACAAAAAGGGTTATGTGAATTATGATTATGCTTAGGCAAAGACTATGTTCTCATCCCCAATTCTCTCTTAGTTCCCTCATCCCATCTTCTTTATAGCTACTGTTATTGATCGTCTTTTTCATATTGTAATTGCTCAATTTTCGTATGAATCAAAGCTTGTTAGTTTGTTCTCTCTATTGTTTGTTGTTGAGTTGAGAGAATCACTACATCCAAGTAGCGTTTGTTACAGAAACTCTTTGATCGTGCGGAGGGTGTAAAACATCCCAAATTAGTTGAGGTAACTTTCTGATTGATTTTGATTCAAGGACAATCTTTTACATGGTATTGAAGTCCTAGTTTGGACACTCTTCTTTATTAATTACTTCTTACTTCTTTAATTAGAAATTCTTTAACAATTTCAGAAACAAAGGTTAACTATAGCGTGAAGCATTGATTTGTACTTTCCAGTAAAAGACACTGTTATCAAAAGAGTTGTTTACATTACCGTGTATACAAGTTAAATTCTTTGGCTTTTGTGTGTTTGAATATTTTGCTGAAGATGTATAAACACAAGTGCCAATAGTAGAAACTAAACCACCACAAAACTACATAGTTGTTGATCAAAATAAGGACATCAAAGTGACTCTGATGACAGAGGAGAAGGGTAACACAAGGCCCTCCACCTTGATCTTTTGATCAACTTTATACATAAGTATAACATACTTCTACTCCCTGCTCTCAGTATGAAGACACTAGTGATGGCAGAAGCTAGAGTGTTGTCCATGAATCGGAAGCTAGGAAAGTAATAAGTACTCGTTTCAAATTCACGTAAACCCAATAGCTTTTGTGTTATGATGATGCTTCAGCCCAATGTCACACAACCAGTTATT